CGTCCTCGTCCGCTCATACCTCAGCGCAATAGGCGTTGTGGATTTCCTCCCATGCGGTAGGGGGATATTTCATGAGGCGGCTTAGTAGCTTCTTGGTTGCCCTTGAACCATTCCTGTTTAGCCCGTTCTGGAAAGCGGCAACTGCCATACCTTCCGATACGTTTGGTAGACTCATCCTTACCCTATTAAATCTGGCTAGGAAGTCCCTGAGTCCCTCCCCTGTGGTTTGCCTGGCGGCGAAGATGTCGTTGACCCTTGCTTCCGCTTTCTTTGCACCTGCATGGGCGGTGACGAACTTATCCGCCATTTCCTCGAACGTTGATATCGCCTTAGCTGGTAGCTGAGAGTACCACGTTAGGACCCCTCCTGTCAACGTCTCACCAAACTTCTTCAGCAGCACCGATGGTACCTGTTCTTTTGATAGGTCGTTGCCCTTTACAGCAGTGACGTAGTGGATTAAATGATCCTCGGGATCTGTGGTTCCGTCATATACCTTCAAGTAGGGTGGCATCTTGAAGGTTTTTGGGATAGGGTGAGGGGCAGCTTCTTCAGTGTATGGTTGTTCAACGAACCTCCCCACGTCGCGTTTTGGTAGCAACTTGGGAGCGCCGGGGATCTTGTCTACCCTCTCCTGATGTTCTTTCATTTGGTCGTGGAGTGCCTTGTTTTCATTCTCCATTTCTTCCATCTTCTTTAGGATGGCTCTAAGCGTGCCGTCGTTGGTCTGTGCCTCGATGGGTTTGTTATTTGCTCGTGCAGCTTCAGGTTCACCCATGGCAGCAGTGGTTCCTACCGTTGGTATACACTTGTCGCTACCCTGCGGTGACTTCTCAACCAAGCCACTTAGAGTGCTTGTTAGCCATTCTTCCAGTAGCTTCTTGACCACCGAGGGTGCTTCCTTAGCCACAGATGTGGAAGCTCCTTTTTCATGCAAGATCGTCAGATCTAAGGATGGGGAAGATGAGATCTCTGCACCTGGCGTGATGCTAGGGGTTGCATTCAAGATGCTCTCGTCACCGGCCTCGTTGAGAGGATCAAGGAGATTGGTTGTAACACCCACTATCGCTTTCATTCTGGTGTTATTTTCAGCAATATTTTGTTTTCGTGTGGTGTAGAGAATGGTAGTTGGTTGCTCTCTAGGTGGATACTATGATTTTGATTCTCGAAATCCCCACAGACGGCGCCAAATTGTTTGGCTCAAAAGTTGTCGATATACTTTGCAAGCTTAAAAACAATAAAAAGTGAGAAAGGGTAAATCGTAATCAAATATAATAGACCTAGAGATGAAAAATGAAGTTGTTGTTGTAGATCTAATAGTGATAATATGAACTCAAGAAAAAGTATTCGTTAGAGATAGCGATAGAGAGAGAGTATGAGAAAATGAGAGAGTTGTATTCTTTCAGAATCCTCCCCCTTTTACAATGTGAAGGTCTCCTTTATTTCCTCGAAATAATCAAAAAGTTACAAAAATAGGTAACGTTTTTCTAGTGAAGACACTGAGTCCTAAACGATGTCGCTTTTGTCCCCACGTCCAAGTCGTACCCTTACATTAGTCGGCGTATACTCACTGGGCGTACCCATTGGTGTAGAGACGCTGACGGTCAAATTTGACCCTATACAGGTCCATTCATACTGTAAAAAAGTTTTTGGAAAAATGACTTTGAATTGTGCCAACAGAATTTTTAACAACACCGTGGAGAATACATAGAGATTAGAGTGGATATATTGCGGAGGTGATAACTGATTCTAATGGAGCTCTTTTGAAATGAGATGGAAAATTGTGCAGGTTTAATATTGAGGAGGAAGAGTGGCCTCTAGGCCTTTTTGGGGTTCTTTAGTATTCTTGGGTTAAAAAATAAATTTTTTTTGTATTATTGATTTTCCATAGAAACAAGGGTTTTGGCTAATCAGGTCAGATAACAGGTCTTTTGAATTTGGTTTTTTTTAATTTGCCTAGTTGGCAGTCAAAGAGAAGGGCCCCGGTGCCACGTTGGATTTCTGTTAGGGTTAGGGGTGATTTTGTCTACTTTCTTAACAGTAGGGACGTATTTGGAGAGATAGTAGAACTAGGAACAAACATGGATAATTTACTAAAGTAAAGAGACAAATTTGGCCTTTTTCCCTTTGCAAAATCGCAAACATATGCGATAATCAAGGGAAAAGAGCCAAATATACTTATGTACTATGAGAAAAGGTTTAAATATACCTTTCGTTATACTTTTGGGCCAAATATATCCATATCCTAATATTATTAGTTTAAATATACTCCTCTTTAATTAAGTTTGTCCAATGTAGATCTAATCTGAGGTGGCACTAACATTTGATGAGGTAGATGCCACGTGGCATATAACCTCAGCGCCAATTTTATCCATCACCTCTATTTATTTTTCCACTTCTAAAATTTTATTCCGCTCCAAAACTATTGCCGCCATAAACGCCACCATGAACAATATTGAATTTTCAACTAATCAACTCACACCAAATCGTATCTAAGTAGTATGAGACTGAATGTTGCCCATCTGCAAATACTTTGAGCACATGGGTCTGTAAAAAAAATACTTCAATTAGTCACCCTAATAGCACGCACACTAGTAGTACATAAAGACATTATCTAATTTCTCAAGGAAGAGAACTTCACCTAAAATTCGAGAAGCTTCGAATTGTATTGAATCTAATGCGAGCGATAAGTGAAGAAACAAATATTATAAATGACTAAACTTTGAAATATAATATTGTTAATGACAGCGGTAATGATGGTAATGGTGGTGGAGGGGAAGGAAATTTAAGTGGTGGAAAAAAAATAGAAGGGGATATATATTTGGATTGAAAGTATAACGAGGGATATATTTAAATATTTTCACATATACAGCGGTATGTTGGCCCTTTTCCGAAAAAAAAAATAATTGGTGCTCACGCTTTTCAACCTCAATCTCCATCCTTCTTGTAGCTCTTGCGCCACTCCATCCATCCTTGTCGAGCAATTCTCATCTATGAATGGCAGAAATCTAAAAGGAGTTTTATAGCTTTACCCATAAAAATCAAACTAATTACCCTTGTCTGCCCATTTATTTTTCTACCCATTAAATTGTTTTTCCTACCTATTATAGCTTTTGTGGGTAATTGGCTATTTTTATCCTTTTCTTTTTTCTTCTTTTTCTTTTTCTTTTTTCATTTTTCTCTTCTTTTTTTTGTTCTTTTTCTAAATCACATTACTCTTTATTTTATTATTTTCAAATAATCTGATTCCATAATCAATTTTGGTTCCTTTTTTTATTTTATTTTTTCTCTTTTTCTTTCCTTATGTTCATTTTATTTATTTCTTCTTTCTTTTCTAAATTGATTTAGCTATTTTTTATTTTACTTTTTTTCTACATAATCCAATTACATTCACTTTTTTTTCTCCTTTTCTTTATTCTTTTTTTGTATACAATAGTGAAAGATAACTGGTATAGTAAATATATATTCACCTTATTTGATATAACGATTAATTTTTTCTCTCTTCAAAATCTCTCTCGGCGCATGTTAACGTGGACCAGCTAACGTGCACTTGGAAGCCATGGGAGGGAGAGGAAGGCCTAAGAAAAATCAACAGCGAAATACGGTGGAGGAACAACGATCATCGGAAACTAGGAAAGCAGTGCTTGAACTGTTTGTATCACCAAAAGGAGTTCGAATTGAAGACCAATCTGGAAATCTTATTCTGAGGAACATGCAGAGTGAAATAAGCAAAGAGGAAGCTGATCCATCGCGGAGTAGGGACAAATTGAAGACAATTGCAGCTACACCTACAGCTACTCAAGCTTCTGGAAGTGGATGTGGGAATGGGAAAGCTCAAGAGCAAACCAGGAAGACCAGCAGCAATGGAACAGTACCATGCAATACTGGTACAGCTGAGAACAACAAAAATGATGCTCCAACGGATGTCAAATGGACCAATCATGGGCAAATGTGGTCGCAGGTAATAAACTAGCTATGAAGGGTATGAATCTGCAATTTTGGCTCCAATTGTTCCAAATAGAGAGAAAATAGCCAAATTAGAAGTTGAGGATGTCGAGCAGGAGACTGAAAAATGGAGATCTGCAATTGTTCTGTACGTGATAGGGGATTCGCCTACCATTGGAGCTATGGAAAGGTTTCTTAGCTCAGTGGGTAAGTTCTCAAGGAAGCCACAGATTTACTACCATAATGAGGGATATTTTGTGATTAGATTCAGCAACCTGGAGGAAAGGGACCAAGTATTATACTCTGGACCTCATACAGTAATAAGCCTATAATTATGAAGGCTTGGACTGGAAATTTCAATGTTCATGATGAGGTGTTGAAGACTATTCCACTATGGGTAAGGTTTCCCAATTTGCCTCTTAATTGCTGGAGCATGAAAGCACTAAGCAAGATAGGAAGTATTTTGGGGAATCCAGTGTATGCAGATGAATGTACCACTGGGACAATGAGGATCTCATATGCACGAATGTTAATTGAAATGGATATAACCAGACCTCTGCCAAGAAGTGTGAAAGTCCAGGACTCTAAAGGGAGACTAATTCAACAAGAGGTAGTCTATGATTGGGAACCAACATATTGTTCTAAATGCTTGAAAATAGGCCATGATTGTGCTGTGATAAAAAAGGAACAACCCCAAAGAATGGTCCAACAAAGGAAAGTAGCTACAGGCAAACATGTATGGCTAAGAACAGACAGGAATGGAACAAATAAAAAGAAAGAAACAGATCAAAAGGAAATAATAGAAGCATCCAAGCAGGAAGAGTATGAACCAGTAGAAAAAAAAGTGCAAGGAAGGGATGAATGGTGGATTACAGTACTTGGAAAATCAACAGCAAGGGCATCTAAGGCTAAACAAAATGAAGAGCAGGGAGCTGCAGGACAACAAGGGTCTCAAGCTTGCACAACAGCATCAATTGTGATGTACCAGGTACAAGCAAAATGCAAATGAGCAGTCTAGGGGAACAGGAGATGTATTATAAGCCTCTTTTTATACCAATATGAGTGTGATAACTTGGAATATTAGGGGTTTAAATAAAACATATAAGCAAAAAGATGTGAAGGAGTTCATAAGAAGTAACAATAAAGCTATAATAGCATTGGTTGAACATAGAGTAAAGGAGCATAGAGCAAATGATATAATTAAAAAAATAGCACATGGTTGGCAATGGATATCAAATGCTAGTCCAAACAAGAAAAGTAGAATATGGGTACTATGGGATCCTAGAATTTATAAGTTTGATATGGAAGAGGCAGATGAGCAGTTGGTACATGGGCAGATTAGTATCTTATCAAAGGCAATCACATTTGGCTTCTCAGCAATATATGGGCTACATACTATAAAAGATAGGCTAAGCTTGTGGAGGAAGTTGAGGCAAATTCACAGTATACAACAGGGACCCTGGCTAGCAATGAGAGACTATAATGCTATCCTTCAGTCACAGGATAGACGGCATGGTAATGAGGTACAAGATATAGAAACTAGAGATTTCAAGGAGTTTCTGCTTGATACAGGAATGCATGAACTTCAGTATGTGGGAAGGGACTATACATGGACTAATAATCACACCTATAGTAGAATAGATAGGGGTCTGGTAAATGCTGATTGGATGATGATGATGCCTAATATGAAAGTGCAGGTACTAGAGCCACTAGTGTCTGATCACTCACCACTAAAACTAATGATATCACAAGTGCAGGGGAGGAAGAGTAGGCCATTCAGATTCTTAAATTGTATAGCTGATCATCACCAATTCCTACAGAAAGTGGAACAAGCTTGGGAAGAAGGGAGTACTGGTGGTATGATACAAATAGTATGGAACAAGCTGAAGAGGGTAAATGAGGTTATAAAAGAGATCAACACAAAGCATTACAAAGGAGTAGATGAGAGAATAAAAAGAATGAGGGAGGAGCTCCAGTCTACTCAGGAAGAAATGAGCTTTAAGCTACAGAGACAAGACCTAATTGAGAAGGAAAAAGCACTAAAGGGTGATCTAGAAAAATGGATACTGATTGAGGAAAGCATATATATGCAAAGATCAAGAGTGCAATGGCTAAAGCTGGGAGATTCAAACTCAGCCTACTTTTTTGCTCAGATGAAGAATAGAAGTAATTTGAATGGAATTCAATTTCTAACAAATGACATGGGGGTCCAGCTAGTGTTGGAAGATGATATTGAGGCAGAAATCTTGGGGTACTATAAGAAATTATTGGGCTCAAGTGCAGAAAGTCTTCCAGCTATTAATCCAAATGATATGAAAATGGGACCAGTATTGAGTAAGGAACATCAATTGCTGCTTATCAAGCAAGTGTCCAAGGAAGAGATATGGGAAGCAATGAAGGATATTAATGATCTTAAAGCTCCTGGATATGATGGATTAAATGCTGTCTTCTTCAAGAAATCCTGGACAATCATTGGTCAGGAAGTGATAATGGCTGTACAGGAGTTTTTTGAGTCAAACCAAATGTTTAGACCTATCAACTGCACTGCCATACCTTAATCCCTAAAGTTAGGAATCCTGCAAGTATTAAAGATTATAGGCCCATCTCATGTTGTACAGTCTTGTACAAAGTGATATCAAAGATCCTTACCAAGAGGCTACAAAGTGTAATGGATTTTCTGATTGACAGTTCACAGGCAGCTTTTGTTCGTGGCAGAGTAATCACAGACAATATTATTCTGAGCCATGAACTTGTGAAAGAATATGGGAGGAAAGGGGTATCACCTAGATGTATGATGAAGCTGGATATGCAAAAAGCCTATGACTCAATAAAATGGGATTTTATGGAGCAGATATTACATGCATTAGCCTTTCCAGAACAGTTTGTAAGATGGATCATGACATGTATGAGATCTGTGACTTATACAATCATGATAAATGGTGCACTAACTAAGCCATTTGATGCTAGGAAGGGATTGCGACAAGGAGATCCTCTTTCACCCTTTCTATTTGTGCTTGCAATGGAGTATCTGACAAGGAAATTAAAGAAGCTGGCTGAGATCCCAAACTTCAACTTCCACCCCAAGTGTGCCAAGATGCAGATCATACAACTTGGTTTTGCTAATTATCTCTTATTGTTTTGCAGGGGAGACATTGGATCAGTCAAACTATTATTCCAATGCTTTATGGAGTTTTCAAAGGCATCTGGATTGATGATTAATAAAAACAAAAGCTCATTGTTCTTTGGAGGAGTCACACATGAAGAGCAGGAGGAGATCCTAGAATTTCTAGGAATTCAGAGAGGTGCTCTACCAGTCAGATACCTTGGTGCACCACTGAGTTCCAAAAGAATCTCCATAGCACAATGCCAACCGCTCATTGATAAAATAATGGGAAGAATTACTTCATGGACTGCTAAGTTCTTGTCTTATGCAGGAAGGATTCAACTCATAAAAAGTGTCCTGTTCTCTATCCAAACATACTGGGCCCAAATCTTTGTTCTGCCAAAGAAGATTATAAAAATAATTGAGGCAATGTGCAGAAGTTTCCTATGGAATGGGCAGGGTACAGTTTCAAAAAAAGCACTATTAGCATGGGAGAAAATATGTATGTCAAAGTCAGCAGGTGGTTTTAATGTCATGAACATAGCAATCTGGAACAAAGCTGCAATATGCAAACAATTTTGGAACTTATGTAAGGAGAAAAAGAAATTGTGGATACAGTGGATGCATGACTACTACATAAAAGGAAGAAACATCTGGACAATACAGTTAAAGCGAACTTCATGGATGGTAGGTAAAATCATGAAGGCACAGAAGACTATGATGGATGCTGGTTTCAGCCATGATGATATCACAAACATGAATAGCTGCTCTATTAAATAAATTTACCACAGGCTGCGAGGTACGTTTGAGAAAGTAAGTTGGAGGAAAGTAGTTTGCCACAATGGAGGGTGTCCTAGATGGAATTTTGTGCTTACTATGACTGCTCATGGAAGACTATACATGAAGGATAGATTGCAAAGATGGGGAATATCAGTTGATCAAGACTATATATTATGCAATAGTGATAAGGAAACCATACAACATTTGTTCTTTGAATGTCCGTATGCAAAAGCACTGTGGAGCAAACTCTTAGTATGGCAAGGCATTGGTAGACCAGTACAAGGATGGGATGAAGAGCTAAAATGGGCAGAGAAATGGGCCAAAAGGAAAAGTGCAACAGCTGAGTTATACAAAATGGTGTTGGCAGCTGCAATTTACTATGTGTGGCAGGAAAGAAATGGTCGAATATTTCAGAACAAGACAAGAGGATGGGAGACAGTGTGCAAGTTGATAACTCAAGAAATACACTGTCGTAGCAACAAGAAAGTAGAGAAAATTTTGCAGATTTTAAATTGGTATCCAATGTAATAGATGTATATGATAAATAGGTGGTGCAGGGAGAAGTTAGCATGATAAGTAAATATGTAAGGGTTTGATTTACTTTGTAAATATTTTCCCTGGTATATGAAAGAATTAATTACAAAAAAAAAAAAATATAACTGATAGTATAATATACTATTTGTCTTTCTTTTTCTTCTTTAAATTAATTATTGGAACAACTTATACATTATACATGTTTCCTCTTCTCTTCTTTTCATTATATTTTTTTTCTTTCTTGATATTTTAAAAATATATGTATTACTGTAAATATTTCTAGCGCATAGGATCCAAATTATATATCATTATAATAAATGACATATTAGTATAATAAAATGGCTTATTAGTATTTACAGTTACTCATATTTCAAAAAATAAGAAAGAAAAGGAAATACGAAGAAAAAAGAGAAATATATATAGAAATATACCAAATAGGTTTATTTGTATTTTATATCTTCTGACATTTCTTATACAATGAATATAGTTTTCATGGAACTCCAACAAAAAAATTATTTAAGAAAATATTTGCAAGGAACTAGTTGGAAAAATTTAAAAATTACTTATTTATTACTGTATACTGTTATATTATATTGTATACTATAACCGCATAATGTTACTATAAACATGACTTTCGCTTTGCACAATAGCACCTAGTTGATTCAATAAGTAGGAGTCGAAGAATACTATTATGGTACATTATATACTATTGCTGCATATTGTTGCAGTATATAGCATATTATTACGGTATACCATTACAGTATATGGTATACTATAAGGGTATATAGTTGTTGTATTGCTATATACTCTTACAATATATTGTATACCATAGCTGTATACTATTAGGAAAATGTGTTCTTCTTCGATAATTACAGTATATTGTTGTATTATATTGTATAATATAACCGTATACTATTATAGTATAGCTACATACTCCACATCATATTGTATACTGTAGCGGTATATTGTTGGGTGACTGTGTTCTTCCATTTTCAACTGAAAAATTCAATCTCAATCACCTCAAATCAGCTCCAAATGCGATCAAATTTCAGGATGAACTTCCAGAATGTACTATAAGCAATATTTAATAGCACCCACTATGAATCAAACAAGAAATCTTCAAAATAAAAATTTTAAATTCAAGAGCTTCAAGCCCAATAATGGTGGATATTCAGACACACATAAAAATTCACATCCGGGAAGCTTACTTGAAGGTACTGCAAGTAATATTTTATAGCACCCATATCGCATCAAACAATAAATCATCAAAATAAAAGTTCAAATTCAGGAGCTTCAAACTCAACAATGGTGGGTCTTCATACACACATAAAAAACAGATCTGGGAAACTTAATATATAACCACAGTAACACATGGGTTCAGAAATATAAATAAATATACAAAAAAGAATATACTAATATAGAAAGAAGATTTTGGAGTGAAACTCATGTACAATAATATGAAAACTTATCTTTTAAAATTTATATAGAAAATTATATTAAACAAATTAGGTAAATGCATGGGTTTGTACTGGATTTTCATCATCCACTATAAAGACTAAGCTATGGGTATTTTTTGAAGGGGAAAGGAAGGTTTGGGGTGTGGGACTCTAGTTGTTTAGAGAAATTGAAAAGGGAAAGGGGATTGGGTAGGCGGGTAAATAATTTAGACCGTATAGGTAGAAAAAATAATTCCTTTGGACTTGAGTATTACAGGGTAAATAATTTAGGGTTAATGGGTATAAAATGAAATATTCCCAAATCTCAAATGAAATAAAAGCTCGATGAAGCTAAATATTGGTATAAAGTCTAATTCTCACAATAACAAGGATGTTAGTGTTGGAAAATTTATTTCTCGTTTCGAGTTCCAATAATCAGATAAGGATCAAAGATAATAGAAGAGTGAGAATTTGGAAGAACTACTAAAAACTCCATTATTTTTCTAAACATATACTCAAACGGTTTACCAAAATTTCAAATATAATGATTGATCCTCTAGAAGCAAATTGCAGCAGTAATAACGAAAACCCATAATTAAATGTTATTGTGTTGCAAGTTTTGACTTTACTCCTACTGATTTTGAATTTATAGACCAAGCAAAAGCTAAATAAAATTTCCAACTTTTCCATAATGAGATTTTAGGAAATGTTCGTCAAGCTTCTTTACACACTCCTCAAATCAATTGTCACGATCCAAATCCCAACCTGTTGTGATGGCGCAAATGACATTACTAGGCAAGCCGACAATCACATGATAATTACGTATTTGAATTCAAAATATGATTTAACAGGTTCAATAACGGAAATATCTCATAGATAACTGATAAAAACAGTCGAAACTCAATAACAACAAAACCCCAAAATCCTGATGTCACCGAGTACATGAGCTACTAAGTGTCAACACAGTCTAAATCTCTAATATAACTGTCTGAAAATAGAACAGTACAGAATAAGAACCCATTTGGATTAGCTGATTGTAAATAGCTGATAAGCTTGAAGTGCTGAAAAGTTTTTTAAGTGCTGAAATTGATTTTTAAAATAAGCATTTACGTGTTTGGATAGAAGTGCCGAAACTCATAATAAGCAGTTGATGTGTTTGATTGAAATAACCTTGGGCTTAAAGCAGTGACGAGCTCAGAAAGGTACAGTCCAAATCCAGATAATGACAGTACAGATGAAACAGGGAAATCACAGTAATAATAACTCAGAGAAATTCCATAATCAGTTCGTACAAAAATATAGACATGTTTTCAAGTTCAATAATTTTAGCTCAATACTGATAAAATATGCCAAGTATAACTAGCATAAGGAATGTTACATCTCTATATCTACATATCAGTATACATGTCATGCATCACAGTGATAAACTCATGTATCTCTATGTCTACATGTCAATATGCATGTCACATGTAATGTATCACCGAGCACACACAATCACTCAGCACACTCAATCGCTCAGCACACTCAATCACTCAGCACTGTATGGTACCTGCGCTCACTGTTGGTATGTCAGACTCCGGAGGGACGGATCCTGCCCAAGCATTAATATAAGCCAATGTGGCATGTTGCGGCGCGAAGCCCGTTCCCATAAATGTGTCAATAACACCTGCTGCGGCGTGCAACCTAATCCCATAAATGTCACAAT